GTTTTTTTTTTACGCAAAAACCGGTTCAGGCTGTGCCGGTCTGAGGTTATGGGCACTGTTTGAATACGTAAAAAATCGAAATTGATTTTTTTTTTCAGATGTGACGACATAAGCTAAGATTATAGTAAGCTCAATTCACCAAGTCAATATATTTGAAATATGTTTACATCAAATAGTGGTTTTCATTGCGTCTTACTTGGTTATTGTTTAATAGTTTTTCGTGTTGCTTCTTCATTCGGTTTAACAAAGACAAAGATTAAATTCTAATTTTATATGGGTGAGAGAGAGAGATGCAAAATGTACAGATCTGACCCCTTTTCTTACGTCATGCAGCCTAACTTATAAACATTCTCGATTTTTCACTTACCAATTTAAGTATCTATTTTTTATTAATTTCTTACGTCACGTCGACATCTAGTGGCCTAGCACCCCCAAAAATATCAGATTTTGTAGAACGTCACTAGCGTTTTTTGGTTATGTTGCCCATTTGTATATTGCAATCTCTGTTTTTTCTTAAAAAAATTATTAAACAACCATTCTGAATTTTGATGATATCACAAATAAAATCTGGAGTAAGGTAATTTATCTATGAAAACAGTAGTTTATATTTTTGAGTCTCTTTCCATTTCAGGATTTGGTAGAGTGAACATGTGGGTTATTTCATAACATGACAAGAATAACAATTTTAATCTGCTTATATATATTATACCTCTTGCAATTGAATATGTAAACAAAGTTGTTTAAGATAACTATCGTGGGAAACTGGACAACAACAAAAAGTTGAAGTTAATTTTTAATATGTAAATAATCGTATAGTATTAATTACTATTGGTTCTTTGAGCAGTCCAAGAAAAATAATAGAACTATAATTGGATAAAAATATTACTCACTACAATACAATAGTACGGGTAAGGGATCTGAGGATGACATCATCGAATTAAAATGTCAACTAACACACTTATTGCCTTCAATTGTTGACTCGTTGATATTTTCTTCTCGAAGGAGGGAGTTATGAATTTTTGTTGTACACAATTGCGCATATCTTCAAAACCCGCGCAATAATATCGAAAATTAGTAATTTAAAATTGAGAATTGAGATTTTACATCCAATACAA